AGGGAACTACCAACACCGTCCTACTTCACTATACATTAATGTGAACAAATACAGGGAACTACCAACATCATTCCATTTTAGGTTATTGTAAAGTTAGTTGGCCTAAGCTATCATCCATAACCATAGAGCTGTAACATCTGGTAGACGAAGTAACGAGATGGGAAATTCAACTCCAGTGTTAAAAATAATTCTCACCAGGAGGCACTGTAGTGTAAATTTCAAATCAGTATGAAAACAGCATATAATACATCCATATTTTTCCATAAGAGCTACTCTTGGCAGTTTACCTCTGAACATATAGCATTACTCCAGCCTTATATAGACACACACACACTCACATGTATACACATAAAAAGGAGTTTTGAATTAAATAGTCTGTATGCAACATGGGACCCCAACTCAAACTGTTAAGACAATATTAGGACATGCTTTCAAGGATCAAATAACCAGCACATCCTCTAGGCTTTGATTTACCATTAAGTACCTGCCATCTTGACAGACCTGAAAGATATACAAAATCAAGTAACATTCAACTGTTGGAAATTAAACAGCTGTGTGTCACCATCTGTAATAAATAAAGGCAATACTGGACCTGAATGGGAGACACTTCGAACATTCTTAACATGTTGACGGTTGAAATGTTGTGTCCAGTGCCCTCTAGTAATAAATATTTTGAACACTTAAGCTGTTTTTACAATTCTCATTACTTTGTTTGTCGTTTACTGAAATTTTAAACATGCTTAGAAAACAGAGCATGACAGGCCAGAATTATCAACGAATGTGTTGAATTATATCAAAAAGCACCGTCCTGGTGATAAAATTTTAAGAAAGTCAATTTTTGGTAAGAAATACCATAAAAACTTCTGAAATTCTTTAAACATAATGAATTAAAATACAAGCAATGTTTATCAATTGTCATAATAAAAATACCAACCCTCAAAGAAGTACACAACTAAAAAAAAAAAAAAACACAGTTGGTGGTTTCAAAAAATGTTTGGGGTTTAAACATTCTAAAGAATTTTATCAATAAAATAAAAACGTGAAAGTAACAATAAATCACCAACTTCAGAGGTGAGGCATACAAGCAGTCATTACACATTTACTACAAAAGTAAATAGGTACCTTTAAATACCATGAGTGTCCCAAATCCCAGGATCCTATCAGTAACTTCTACTGAATGTCCCAAGAGAATACATGAAGTTTGGTTTTTTTTATTCCCTGGATTTTTGAACTTGAGTAACACGTTTTTCTCTTGATGTCCGTCCACATACACAGAGACCTAAATAAATTAGTGTTTAAATAAAATGTGTGTTTTCAAAGTGGAAAAGAACAATAACAAAAAGAAAAAACAACAAATTATTCAAATTTATTTATATTAACATATTCATACATATTAAACAAAACCTGGAAAAATACACCACTTAACACTGCAAAACCAAGCTGACCAACAGCAAAGTGAATCACACATTGTGAAAACTTTTACAATAAAACATTAGAAATCTGACTATTCTTCACATCCAAGAATCTACAAAACTGTCCTAAAGGAAGTGGTTGTTTACAAAGTGTATTCACACCCAAGAATCTACAAAACTGTCCTAAAGCAAGTGGTTG